GAAAAAGTAACTGTTTCCAGACCTACTTAAACTGGGAGAGTCACCAAACTCTTTGAGGATGTAAGCTGTGACAGAAGTTACAATTTTCCCCAACAAACATACCTAACATACTCAGCGATGTCTCTCTTCAGGGGATTGCAGCCAGAGGGAAGGGGTGTGTAGTGTGTTGTCCTCACATTTAGCTTGTCAAAGTTCTACAAAATTCAAACAAAATGTACCATAAACAAAAATACTCTAAGTCTTTAGAAACGAATCCCATTTTACCTGGAATTTTTGATCCCCATGGAGATCTGCAATCACATAATCTGACCTAGTTTAAATTACAATTAACTGAAAATGCCTCTCCCATACTGGCAGCTCTAGAAACAGACTTTCTACAGCAAGAAAAGGCCAACGCTATGCAAAGAAGGTTAAAAGCTCTGTAGAACAACAGAGCTTTACAAAGTAGAGCAAACCCAGTGTGTCTGTGTACAGAACTAGGGTCTCTGTGGAGACTTATGCAAACATTATCCCTGCACAGAAAGAAGGGATGGGTGTAAATCCTGTGGGGATGGTTATACGGCAGGTCAAGATCATATGCAGTTTGACAGATCAGGCACACAATGAGTGAAAGTCCTTTTCAACATTTGGGTCATAGAGCCTGGTGCGAGATTGGTTGCCCTCTGCCTTAGGTTCCCATGTAGGGTATTTCTTTACAGGCAGGCTAAGGAACACATGTGAATCAAGGAGTAATGTTTTTATATCTGTACACACAGACGGAATCCTATAATCCTCTTTACCTTCAGCAGCAAGGGCCACTGAGATGTGTCCAGCTGAGCCACTCGGGATTCAGGTTTGATGAAGAATTCCTCTGTGTGCTGTATGTCCTGGGGAGAGAAATCACAGATCAGAGAAGTGGAGTTGACATGCAAAGTGTCTTATCTCTTTTTTACAACTGAAAGTCTTTTGTATTCTATTGCCAACATTCACAAATTATTGCTAACACATCTTACACAATTCCCTTCAATGACAGCTACACCAAAGCAACATATACCCACAGCACCACAAATTCACTGCAAAACGATCATTGTCCAGAGAGATAATGGCTATAACACCAAGTAAAACTGAAGAGTTCTGGAACTGAATTAATGAACCATGACGTGAAACAACCCCCCAGAGCTCCATGGCAAGTCTAAAGGATGGCTACATGTTTGAATGCAGAATAATGATCCCAGTCTGCTCCCTTCACTCACTAAAACAGTAGCAAAGTTTCAGTTCCAAAAGACCATAGGAGGCAGAATCTCTTTGGTGCATTGCAAAAGAGCAAAAGCTAGACTTAGACTATGTCTACACTAGCACTTTTGTTGGTCAGAGGAGCCAAAGAAACCACATCCCAACCGGCATAAATTTCACCATTGGAAGTGTTGGTGTAGACAGCGCTATGTTGGCAAGAGCCCTTCTCCCAGCAACATAGCTATTGCTGCTCGTTGAGGGTGGTTTAATTATGTTGATGGGAGAGCTCACTCCCATCAGCATAGAGTGGCTACACGGAAGACCTTAGAGCAGCGCAGCTGCTGCAGTACAGCTGTGCAAGGTCTTTAGTATAGACATGATCTTAGTTAAGCAACTTCTCCAAAAAACAAACCCAAAACACTGGCTGATCACGTCTTAATGCATGCATCACAATTTGAAAGGAAAGAAGTGCTATTTTGCTCCTCTCAACTTCAGGTGACTCAGTGAATGGGTGAAAAAAGACTAAATCCCAATCCAATAATGGATTATTTCTATTTAAAAATGAATAAAGGCCAATTTAGGACAGATTCTCTTTTAAATGACACATTCTAAGCACAAGCATCTCCCTCCACCCCTTACCTACCAGAATAATTAATTAAGCTGATAAGAACAGATTTTAAAAATGTATTAAAGCTAATGTTAAAATTATACAATATACAGGTTGAGAAAAGACTGTTTGTACACCTGGATATAGTGCTTAGATTATCCCCAATACAAAGTTTGTTTTTAAAGTCATAAGATACACAGTGCATAACCAGCAGTAATCCAAATTTAGGTGAATGAATTTAAGAATACAGTTTAGATATTTACCATCCAAGTATTCAGGTACATTACTCATGAAAAAATGTATACAGAGTTGGTGGCGGAAGGCGATATACTAAACCTTTAGTCAGTTGTAGTGCAAATACATCACTCCATTGGATTCTAAACAGCCATTTTAGTCTCAAGAGATTTATTAGGAAAAAAAAAGTAGTTTTACTCCAAGAGACACCGACACTCTAAATTCTTGGGGATCAAAGCTGATAAAGAACTTAAAAATCTGCTAAAATGTGTTTATTATTAAAGAAATTCACAGTTTTTTGCCCCCAGTCAGGGCAATTCTATTTTTCTATGGATACTTGGAGCAAGGAGAGGTGCTGATTCAGGACAAAGACTTCAACTGTCTTTCATTCTAAGCCATAACACTGTCCCATCTTAAGTCTCTGAGCTCCCATGGACAGCATTCACCAAAACCAAGGCAGGAAACAACACCGCTTGCCTTCTGTCCTGCTGCTTCTCTCCCATCCACCCCCCAACTAAAGACCTAAAATTGCAGGTGAGTAACATTGTCAAACCATTACTCAAACAATAAAAGATTCCAGAAGTGGGCCATTGAGTCCTTTTCTTGAGATACTTAAAACAGGTGAAGGTTCCAGGATCTTCCCCAAACAAGAGTTTTGCTCAACTTGAAATCAAGTCAAGGCACCAAGCTAGCCTGGAGGCAAACTCAGTCAGACAAGTGGAAAAACAACTTCACTCACAGCAACATCTGCATCTGGTAGAAGTTTCTTATCCTTTTTCTTCTTCTGCTTCTTAGCTATACAGCCTATATTTGAAACAGAGGTACGTTAAATATTTTTCATACCAGAACTCATCCAAATCCAAACTGGCAGCACTACAGAATTTTATACACAAGCAAGATGTATCTCCTAAAAAATTAGATTCTTTAGTTCAATATCAGGTTCAAAAGCAACTTAATTATTATTTGTTCAGTACTTTGTTGCATTCAATATCAGAGGCAACATATGATATTTAAGAGCAACTATTTCCACACTGCAGTTTTCTTCCTTCTCCATTGTCTTTTCTTTTTTTCTCCCCTCCCCATCTGTCTCTTTCCTACTTTTAACCTCTGCATTTTCTTCTCTGCAGCAACGCCCAATTCCAGGAGCTTCACTCCTCCCCCTCTCCTGACAAAAACTGACAAAGAAATGACCATTGTTGACCTGAAAACTATCTTCATTAGGCTTTAGACTCAGTGCTGAAGTGAGATTAACGGGGCAGGAGCGGGAGGAAGCTTACACCTCCCGGTCTCCGAGCCACGTGCCAGGATGCCCACAGTCAGGCACACGCCACACTGGCGGACAGGTTTCCAGCACAGATCGGGTGACTGGAGCGTTTGCAAACGAAAGCCGAGAGGCTGCGGAGCTGGCACACGCCGGGGCGCGCCCACATCCCGCTGGGCCTGGGTACGGGGAAGCGGGTGTTGCCACCACGGCACCAGGTATTTGGCCCCGAGGTAATTCCAGGAGCTCCCGGGTTTCTGAAGGGCAGCAGGAGCCACGTGTACGCGGAGCGGCCCCGTTGGTGGCAGGGCTCGGATCGCGGCCCAGGCGGCGGAGCAGGGCCGCGCCCGGGACAGCCGGAGAGACCGAGACCTGCCCCAGGCCACGTGCTCAGGCCGGACAGAACCACCCCCCGGCCGGGACAAGCTCCCCACCTTCCCGGTCAGCCATCTTCGCCCCGCGCGCTCCGGGAGCCGCGTGCTGCCGCCACCCGCCGCCGCGCAGAAAGAGAGACTCGAAGGCCGCCCCTGTCCCGAGATGCACCGCGCGCAGGGCCCTTCCCCGTCACGTGCTCAAGGACCCGGCCCAGGGAAGGGGGGGCGCTGCTTCTCCGCCACCTGACAAGGCGGCGTGCGGCCCGCTCCCCATCACGTGACGGACTACACCCCCTCCCCGCGCTCACTGTGGGGCCCGGCCGCCGCAGCCCGCTAGCCCCGCGGCAGGCCCTCATGACCAGCTCCTGCGGGGCGCTGGGCACCCCCACAAACTTCCCGCGCCAGGATGCGACACTGAACGTGCCTCCCCCGCAGCAAGCGCACGCCACGGGGATGGCCGTAACTGGAGCGTAGGGGGCGCAGCGACCCTGCCAAGCGCTAACGCCAGACCTCCTCCTAAGGCAAGCAAAGACTATTTGACTCTTGGGCACATGGGAAGCAGTCACACCCTTTTAAAAAAAGTTACTGCTACAGGAAAGCTGTGCCAGAGTCCGTAATTACACTGCATATGCTCATTCCGCTTTCTTAGGGGAAAGGAGTACCACAGCCACAGAAACGCCTCAGCCCCTCTAAACAGCGATGTGATTGCCAGTTCATAGGGCTATTACAAGCATGCTGCTGCAGGTAGTAGTGTACTGAAGTGAAGAGGAGCGAGCTGTGGCCGAGGTACGCAGGCTCCAGAAGGCCTGTCAAAACTCAAAACCGTTCACCCAACAGATGTGGAACGGAGGAAGGAGGTAATGAGTAGTTTTCCTTTTTTAAAAGGTCATAATACTGATTAAAAGAGTAGAAAGAAAAGGGTATGAGTATTTTACAGAATCAGACACCACGGAAAGTATGGAATAAGCAATCTCTAACCAGGGACAGAGTTTTCTATGTTTAGAATAGCCCTTAAACATTTTCAGCCCTAGTAGGATAGTTCAGAAGGCTAAGCTTTCTTTTTGAAGCACTCTGTTCCCACCCATCACCAGTTCAGTACATGGTTATGAGTCTTCCCCCCAGGAGGAAGACCTGGAGCTTTGTTTTTGCACAGTTTTATCTTAAAGATGTAACATACAATAGTAGCTCCCTTCAATATTTTTTTCCCTGTATCCTGCCCTCTGGCACTGCCACCTAGGCTCAAGCCCTGCAGCACATACACAAGCTTAGAGAGCTGAAGACTACTTCAGGACAATAAAGACAGGAAACTCCATTCTGAGTTCCAGTACATAGATGCTTCATTAGAGTCATACATCAGTGAATGAACTGATGATTTCAAAACTTGCCAGTAAAAATTACGTTTCAAAACATTTAAGAAATAATGTAAAGTTCACTTTTATATGTATAAATCAGTTTGCAGTTGCACATAAAGCAAAATAAAGACAAAATACCCATCAATTTCCAGTGTTTTACAGGGATGTTTTGTCTCCACTTACTACAGTATAGGCTTGAAGTATTTTTATGCCACTTCCAAAACAGCCTCACTTTTATTCACCCAGAAGACCATGTTAAGTAGGAACACTACTTAGCTTAAGGTCCACAAGGTTCTATTTGTGTAAAAGGTAATCCCACTCGCAAAAAGAAAAAAACATCGTATTTATGGATCCTAAAGAAACAATTAAAGGGAACCCACCCCAGAAAGGGGCAACTAAAGTTCATCCTCAGCAGGAAAACATTCTTTCCAGAAGATGGCCAGCAACATGCTCTTCTCAGGGCATCATCATTTTTCAGCACATAAGAAGTGCCATACAAACATTAAATTTACACCAGCAATTTGTAAAATGGAAATAGAAATTCAAGTAGGAAAGCTGGCCCACAAAGATTAAATGATTTGTCAGACTAGAGTGTCACAGTGCAGAACTCTATGGCTTCTAGGCCCGGTTTAGTTCATTAGACCACAGAAAGGGTCTTATCAATTCTCTTTATCATTAAAATGGAAAAATTAATGTTAAAAGTATTAAACTAATCAAAGTTCACGTGCTTTTCAGATATACATCAAGGCTCAATTTTGCACAACTCCTATACACCTTAGAAGGAGTTGCAAAAACATATCTGAGGGCCAAAGTTATAGGTAAATGTTCCCCCTACACCAATACAATCCTTTTAAACTGCTGTAACAGGCCTGATATGTAAAGTAATACAGTATCCGTAGCAAATGCTAAAATTAAACATATTACATCCATCTTTACCTACTTGTTGAATGAAACCAACAAGGTAGTGAAGCTAAAGAGCCAGCAGCAATGACTCCCCACATTGCCTAGGTTGTAGCTAGTGATATTTGCTTTGAGCAGTAAACAATTTTAAAAGTCTACAATATTTACTGAATTACATCTTAAAGAACTAGAAGGCTTCAGGATACATTGGTGTCTCCAGAGTTCTAGCTACAGCATAATATTAACAGAGGAAGAGCTAGGACCGAGAGCCAGGTAGTTAGAAAGTACAACTCTTAGGCAACAGCTGCCAACATTGAAACAGAACCAGGAGCAGAAGGTACAGAATAAAATTTTAGCTTCCAATTTAGTTTTTAAATGGAAAGAGTTGTTTAGTTACTTTTTTTGAATTAGCATCTTAAAGAGAAACTGGTATTTTTACCAGCTTGCTCACATGTGAATTACACTGATACAAAACCAGTCTCATTTTGAAACAGATACAGAAAAAATGCACTAGTCATTACATCTCCAAATGCGAGAATTTTAATCTGAAAGACTGAATCCTGGCGTTTGTGGACTGTTTGGAAAATGAGTGCCATTTGTAGTATCTTCATAAAAAATGGCAAGAATCCAGCCTCTTACTACCTTAAACTGTAGTAGTTTACATACACAGTTTCTAATGGATCAGGTCATCTCCTGCAGTAGCAGGTGTCTCAAATCTGTGAATGAGAGGAGAATGGCAAAGAGGCTGCACTGGGGCTGAGAAAGGAAAGGTCTCTATAACGAGAAGTAGTTAATAGGAAGTGTTGGCATGTCCAAGTTCCTGGTCCCCAATAGGAAAATAGTCTTTAGCTCACATAGTCCTTTCCTACATGCGGATAGTAGCAGGGAGATGAACCAAGGCTTTGTAGTGGTGATGAGCCAAAATGGAACAACCCTCCATGTGGCTACTGTGGGAAACAGAATCCCATGGTGGGTGAAACAAGTCATGTTGGTGGTGATCCTATTGGGATTAGACTCCTGTGGCTGGCAGCACAGGGGAAAGGCCATTCCTCAGCGTAGCAGATGGGTCTCATCTCTCCTGTGGATGGTTGGAGTAGGTGTACAAGGTTAATTTCTCTGGTGATGCTTGGTGAGGGTTTCAGGCTATATGAGGGAGATAGCAACAGATCAGTGAAGATGCAGTTAGTCTCTGTGGAGATGGCAGATAGTGCCATAGAGATGGCAGCTGAAGATGGACAAGGCCTATCTCTCTAGTCCCACTAAGGCAGCAGCAGGTGGGTGGGGCAGGCCTCTCTTTCTGGTGGGAGACTGACTCCCCTATGGAAGTGGCAGCAGGCAACTGAAGCCAGTCTGCCTGGGGGGACTCAGGCCCCCTGCCCAGAGGGGCTGATCATCTCTTGAAGCACCAGGTGGAGCAGGTGGTTCTGTTCAGGGCTGAGCAGCGGCCAGAGCTCTGCCTGCAGCACCTTGAGCGCCTCCAGGTCCTTCTCCTGACAGGCCATGACAGTGGACTGCAGCAGGAGGAAGAGGCCAGGGGGCAGGTACCCTGCCTGGGGGAGCTGCCCAGCCCCCGCCCCACTCTCGAAGGCCTCCCAGCAGTATTTCTCCAGGGTCTGGGCATGCTCGGGCAGCAGCTTGGGCGGTGGCGGCTGGAGCAGCAGGAGGAGCAGCACCCGGGACACCTCGCAGCGCACCAACACCTCCAGGAAGGCACCACTGGGCGGGCTGGGCCCGGCCTGGGCCAGCAGCTGCGCCTGGGTGAGCGCTGCTAGGGCCCCGTCGTAGTCGCGGGTGAGCAGCAGGCAGGAGGCCAGCTCGCCCAGGCAGCGCAGCGCCTCCAGGGGCAGCTCGGCGGCTGCCAGCAGCTCGGCAGCGCGCTGGAAGTGCGGGGCGGCCTGGCCAGGTTGCTCCATGTCCCGTAGCGCCGAGCCCAGCTCCAGGCAAAGGCCTGCCGCCAGCGCCGGCTGCCCCAGTTCCAGGTGCAGGCGGGCGGCGAAGGCGAAGCAGCTGTGCGAGGCCTGCAGATGCTCGGCGAAGCCGCCGCTCAGGCTCAGCCGCTGCTGCAGGTCCCGCTCCTGGCGCAGGAAGAGGCGAGCGGCCTCGGTCAGGGCCTGCGCCTCGCCGGGCCCGTGGAAGAGGCTCTGGGCGCAGCGGGCCACGGCCAGCTGGCACCAGGCGGCGTAGGGCAGGCTCTCCTGGGCCCGCAGCTCCCGGGCCAGCACCCCGAACTGCTCCGCCGCCTCCGACACGTTCGGCTTCCGCAGGAACCTCTTCCGCAGCTTGGCCGACACCAGCCGGTACCGCGCCAGGAAGTCCCCGTCCCAGCCCCCGCCGGGGCCGGCCGCCCCCAATCCCCCGGGGCCAGCTGGGCCCGAGCCACCCGCCGCCGCCATCCGCGCACCGGCTGCCGCCCGGAAGTGAAACCGTCGCGTGCCAGCCAATGGGCAGCCGCCTGATCGGAAGAGGCTGCGCACGACTCCTGCAGAGAAGGGGCGTGGCTAACGGGAATGTGATGCACCCCCGGGAGCAGGCAAGAGGCGGGGTTGAGGTTTCCGCCGCTTCGTGAGAAGGGAGGGGGGAGTCGGTCCCCCGTCTGTTGAGAGGGGATGTACGGGGGGAGTTGGCTCGGGTCCCCAAAGCCCTGGGAGGCTGAGGGGTAGCGGCTCCCTGGGGAGTGGGGCGGAGTAGGGGTGTGGTGCCCCAGCTTGTGAGGGGAACAGCCCCAGATCCTTGCAGCCCAGCCCATCAGGCCTGAAACCCCGTCATGGGGCCATGGCGCAGGCCCCCCCGGGCTACGGCATCACCGTTACACAGAGACACAGGCAGCCCACGGGCACGGCGCTGGGCAAGCCCCACAAACCAGAGGCAGGCTCCATCTGGGAAAAGGGCTAGCTCCCCAAACCCGCCCTCCACCTGGCAGCATGGTCAGCAGCACATCCAGCCCTCCCTGCCTCACCTCAGAGCCTTCATTAGTGTGTATCCATTCACAGAGTCCAGGCATAGGCTAGTGGCCTCCCAGTGACATAAAAATGGTCCAAAGAGACTACCAGCTCCCAACACAACAAAACAAGAGGGTAACAAACAACAGAGTGGAAGGGATGGGGGGGGAAAAGGACACAATTACATGCTCGTTCGGTATTGCGTGCTGCATCTTGGAGTTTAGTTACATAGAGTAACAGTTTGCCAGAACCCGCAACCTTATTTTTAGCGCTTCTGTAGAATTAACCCTAGCACCACTGCACCATGGCACTCGCTGCTGTAGGTGATCCTCTATATGGCTCAGCCTACCCAGATCCAGCCATGGGATAGAGTAGGCAACACAAGAAATATCTAATATGCTGTAATTCAGGAATCTGAAACTGATGTGGGGTGAATTTCTCTGAAGAAAAGTTCTGTTTTTTAAGAATCTGATTGGGTTTTTTGGGTCTTAAAAATCCAAGGCTGGTTTGTGCTCATCTTGTTTATTCTCAAGCCTCCCCAGGAAAAGGGGTGTAAGGGCTTGGGGGGCTATTTTGGGGAAATAGGAACTCCAAGTGGTCCTTTCCCTGTTCTTTGTCTAAATCACTTGGTGGTGGCAGCATACTGTTCAAATACAAGGTGAAATTTGTGCCTTGGGAAAGTTTTTAACCTAAGCTGGTAAAAATAAGCTTAGGGGGTTTTTCATGCAGGTCCCCACATCTGTACCCTAGAGTTCAGAGTGGGGAGGGAATCCTGACAAGGTGGACTTGTGTTTGTTGTCCAGGAGACCTAGGTTCCTGAAAGTGGATTGTACGAAGTCTATGTGCCCTTCCACTAGTTCTTTGGACTGACCCCTGACCAACCAGTCGTCCAGGTATGGGAAGACCTTCACTCCTCATTTCCTGACGGAGGCTGCTACCACTGCCATGCATTTCGTGAATACTTTCAGGACTGCTGGCACGCCAAAAGGCAGCTCCATGAACTGATAGTGATTCTGGTTTACTACAAATTGAAGGTATTTTCTGTGGCCTGGGAAGATGGCTATGTGAATGTACACATCCTTCAAGTTGAGGGCAGCATACCTGTCCCCTGGATCTAAGGAAGGAATAATCGAGGCTAGGGAGACCATGCGGAACTTCAGCTTCTTCATGAACTTGCTGAGGTTTTGAAGGTCTAGGATGGGTCTGAAATCCCCATTGGACTTTGGGATCAGGAAGTAGCGGGAGTAAAACCCCTGGCCTCTTAGCTGTTAGAACCTCCTCCACTGCCCCTACCCTTAGGAGTGACTGCACCTCCTGGGCCAGGAGATTTTTGTGAAGGGTCGGTCCTCAGGGGGACAGGGAGGGGAAGTGGAAAGGAAGGGAAGAAATAAACTGCAGGGTATATCCCACTTCTACCATATGAAGCACCCATCGGTCGGAAGTGATGTTGGCTCGTGCCCAGTAAAAGCTGGACAAACGGTCCACAAACATAGAGGTGACATCAGGGGTGAAAGTAAGATAAAAGACTTATCTGAGGCAGGGCCTCAGGTGAAAAGGGTGGGGGTCAGCCTTCCGCAGCCAGCTTTTCCATGCTGCCCGGCCTGTGCTGGCCGGGGCTCCAGCAGCGATTTAAAGGGTCTGGGGCCCACTTTCACCTCTGGGTGACATCCTAGTTATGGACTGGTGCACAGTCCTTGGGCGCACCCTCAAAAGTTTGCTTATTGCCCTTTGGTTGTCTCTTTCTGAAGCCTTTATTCCTTCGTCGACCGAAGTCGTGTCTCTGCTGGTGGTGAGGCGGGTAAAAATGGCACATGGGCTGAGGTTAGTAATGCTTCCAGGATTGGGATGGAGGGGAGGGGAGGGGCTGGAGTGTGATGGCCAAACAACTTCAGCATCGCCCTCAAATCTTTTAGGCTATGAAGCCGGGCATCCATTTGTTCTGAGAAAAGGGACTGTCCCTCAGATGGTATGTCCTGCACTGTCTGTTGGACCTCATGGGGTAGGCCAGACAACTGAATCCAGGAGTTTTGTCTCGTTACCATGCCTGTGGCTATCACCTGGGCTGCCACATCCATGGCATCTGAGGCCACCTGGAGGGATGCCTTGGCTATGGCCTTGCCTTCATCTGCCATGGCAGTAAACTCTGATCTAGAGTCCGATGGTAGGAGCTCCTTAAACTTCTGCATGGCTGACCAGGAATTAAAGTCATACCTGCTGAACAGCGCCTGGTGGTTCTTAACTGGAGAACTCCCGTGGAGTATATTTTCCTCCCTAAAAGGTCTAGTTTCCTGGCCTCTTTTGCCTTGGGTGATGGTCCCTGTTCCCCTTGCCTTTCCCTCTTGTTGGCTGCAGCAACAACCAGAGAACCCGGTGCAGGATGAGTGTACAGGTATTCATATCCCTTGTGGAGTGCGAAGTATTTCCTCTCCACTTGTTTAGCTGTGGGTTGAAGAGAGGCCATGGTGTGACAAAGTGCCCTTATGGGTCACAAGACAGCCTTATTCAGGGGCAAGGCTACTTTCGCTGGTCGTGAGGGGGTCACTATGTCTACCAAAGCCAGGGCTGACTCCATTATCTCCTCTACTTGGAGGTTGAGGTTCTGAGCCATCCGACGCAAGAGCTCCTGGTGAGCCTTGTAATCATTTTGCATCAGGGCTATGGTCATATTTGCTACTGCCTCATCAGGCGAAGATGACAAAGAGGCTTGTACAGTTACCAGATTGTAGGCTTATTTTTCAGGTTTTTGTTTTGTAATGTGAATCCTTATGCTATAATGGGTTAATGTTATGATGTTTGCGTGCTGCTTATGCACATTGCTGGTTTTGGATGCCATCTTGTTGGTATTGCCATATTTAATAGGGCTAAACAACAGCCTTTCTCTACAGAACTTTTGCATCATAGAGGTTATATGTATAAGGATGCTGCGCCCAGCAATGGTGGCTGTCTGCCATAGAGGCAGCCTGTGAACCCATCACTTTGCACACACTTTGAGAGTCAACTTCACTCACCTGCAAACAATCCAGGAGGATCCTGAGCATGTCCTGAGCCATACCATCTGCTCCATCTCAGCCAGGTTCCGTGTTCCTCCTGCAAACTCCATCTTAAGGCAGTGGAAGGTTCGGAGCCCAACAGCGGCTGCAGGGACTAGGTTCCTGGGAAACTGTCCGCTGTCCACTTGTCAGTCATTGCCATCACCCTGCAAGTACAAAAAGGGCTCTCATTAGGGATACCCATGGTTTGCTAAGGGTTAGTTGGGAGCCGGGCTTCAGGCCCAACTGGTTCCGACCACTATGCTGTTTTGCTCTGTTTATTGTTTCTCCCCCTTAACTGCGTTCACTTTCCCCAAATAAATAACACTTTGTTTGCACCTTAAACTTGAGTTAAGTTTTACTTACCTGGGGTGCTGGGTGGGGTGTGAGGGATTTTGTTTTACCAGGTGATAGATACTGGATGCTGGGGCCAAATCACAATCTTCTAATTTAGTTTAACTTTTGTGATAACTTCTTCAGTACAACAGGACCTTGTACATCCTCCGGTGCCGGCGGATCACCTGCAAGTGTGACCTGAGAGTCCCAGACTTCTGCCCTGGAGAAGGAACCCATCTCCAACAAGGATGGCGGGGGTGCCCTCGTCTCTGAGGCTGCTGAATGTGAGCATCCCGCATGGGAGCCCTGGGCCATGTCAGTCGTCCAAGAGGTTCATATCAGTCACTGGAGTGGCATCTGCCACTGGCCAGGAGGCCATGCTGCCGGAACGAGCCCCTGGGCCATGGCAGTAGAGCACATATGCTCCGTCCAGAGTCTGCTCCCTCACAAGCTGTATGAATCCACCTGTGATTCGGAGCCTGAGGACCCGCTCCTAAGCGATCATTGCGATGCTGTGCTCTTCGGTGCCAAATAATGGTGCTGAAATGGAGAGCGATGTCACTATGGGAGCGGTGATGGGGAGTGGCGTGGTGATCATAGAATCGTAGAAGATTAGGGTTGGAAGAGACCTCAGTCATCTAGTCCAACCCCCTGCTCAAAGCAGGACCAGCGCCAACTAAACCATCTCAGCCAGGGCTTTGTCAAGCTGGGCCTTAAAAACCTCTAAGGGTGGAGATTCCACTACCTCCCTAGGTAACCCATTCCAGTTCTTCACTACCCTTCTAGTGAAATAGTGTTTCCTAATATCCAACCTAGACCTCCCCCCACTGCAACTGGAGACCATTGCTCCTTGTTCTGTCATCTACCATCACTGAGAACAGCTTACCTCTATCCTCTTTGTAACCCCCTTCAGGTAGTTGAAGGCTGAAATTCCCCCTCACTCTTCTCTTCTGCAGACTAAACAATCCCAGTTCCTTCAGCCTCTCCTCGTAAATAATGTGCCCCAGCCCCCTGATCATTTTCGTTGCCCTCTGCTGGACTATCTCCAATTTTTCCACATCCTTTCTGTACTGGGGGGCCCAAAACTGGACACAATACTCCAGATGTGGCCTCACCAGCGCCAAA